CGACCTTTTTTTCGTATTTGGGCTCGTAGTATGTCTCGTACTTGGTTTCATACTTGGGCTCATACTTGGTCTCGTATTTGGGTTCGTAATAGGTCTCGTATTTGGGTTCATACTTGGTTTCGTATTTGGGCTCGTAGTATGTCTCGTACTTGGTTTCATACTTGGGCTCATACTTGGTATCGTATTTGGGTTCATACTTGGTTTCATACTTGGTTTCGTATTTGGGCTCGTACTTGACGACCTTTTTTTCGTATTTGGGCTCGTAGTAGGTCTCGTATTTGGTTTCATACTTAGGCTCATACTTTGTTTCATACTTGGGCTCATACTTGGTTTCGTATTTGGGTTCATACTTGACGACCTTTTTTTCGTATTTGGGCTCGTAATAGGTCTCGTATTTGGGTTCATACTTGGGCTCATACTTGGTTTCGTATTTGGGCTCATAGTAGGTTTCGTACTTGGGCTCATACTTGGTTTCGTATTTGGGCTCATAGTAGGTTTCGTATTTCACCACCTTCTTTTCGTATTTAGGCTCGTAATAGGTCTCGTATTTGGTTTCGTACTTGGGCTCGTAGTAGGTCTCCTTCTTTGTCTCATATTTTGGTTCATATTCGTGTTTCGCGTTGGCCTGGACACAAAAACTAACAAGAAGAAGTGCGAATGCGTAGCAACAGTACCGCATTTTTTAGATCTTTTTGGGTTGTCACGGCCTCTTCTTCACAAATCCTCTTATATGTGCTTTCTTCATCATGGCGGTATCCCTTCAAGTGGTCATTGCTCATCGATTCAAAGTGCTTTGATCGGTTGTATTGACGAAAATAATTGATCTCTTGTAATCTACAGATGGAGGAGGCTTTTGCGAAGTTTTTCGGTAGAACATCAATTTTGTATTAACTATGGCGCAAAGTCCATGCTGCCGAGTAGAGTTTTGTACTGAGCTGCATTGCAAGTGTGTGCACCGGCCGATTGAGGGAGAAAATGACACAAACAGACGAGGCTGCGAAAAGAGATTCGGACTTCAACTTTTCGTAAAAGCTGGACGAGATTCACCTGTCCTCTTATGATGAGATCGACCTACGAATCTCTTCTTCATGCACTTTCATATGAAATGAAAGTCTCCGCAACAATGTTATCTCTTCAGCATCATCGAAGCCCAGTTTATTTTCGTATTTAGTTAACCTAGTCTACTTTTACAATTACAACGAAGTCAATTAGAAATATAGTTAGACCATGCCAATTATAATTGAAGATATTACTTTAATTCAGTAAACTTAGATTTTTGAAAAATATTAACACTTGTTTGATTGTTGAGCCAAACTAGACGGATTGCCGCCGACGTGGTTACCTACTTTGGTTGTTGTTAGTCCTAGAAGAGATGAGTACTTGTCGTATTTAATTTATTTACGCTACGACGTTTGCATTCGGTGGAACAACACACAATTGGTGCACCTATGTTTAGAGGTCATCGTTAATTCTAATCAGTAATTTAGTCAACTCTTGACGACTGCAACCGACTACCTACTCATATTCTATTTAAGTAAGTTTTGAGATTATCAATAAATATAGAATAGAAATTTATTAAAATTAGGCCGATTCAATCGACCAAGTTACTTGAAGTCAGTATAAGAAGATTTCTACATAAACAATAATTATTAATCAGACATTTACGCACCAAAGTCCGATTTCACTCGATGAGGTTACTTAAATTTGTTATAAGTAGTACTTATATTATTAGTAAGTTTTATTCAGGAAAATTGACCAACTAGACCTATTAAAATTGGCACGATTACGTTTTGAATACGAACTTAGCCACCGTATGCCTAGTTCCATCTACGAGATAAGTTATATGTAACAAGTTATTTTTGAGCTTATTTTTTTTCTTGATAGAAATTCAGTCAGCCTGAACCGATTGTAATTGACAAAGATTCTTATTAGGTTTTGATACTGTCAAGAATACTTTAATATGAATTTACCTACCTTAGGTTGATTGAATTCAACGACATTACTTATTTTCGGTATATCTAGGCTTTGAGATTTTATCTTCTGAATCAAGGTTCTCTTGAGAATTTGGCATACTTCCTGCACTACATGAATGTGAACGTTGTGGTTAACGTATCAAGATCACATACTTCACTGCCACGGTTCGACTCTCGCTAGGGATGTTTAAACTTCAGTCCATTTCAGCCGAGATGATAAAAACTTTTGGGAAAGAAAGGTTAAGTGAAATTCTACCAGTCGTTCATCACCTTAAACGAAATAGAGCGAATACATCTCATATAAACAACATCACATGCATCCCTACATGTAATACACTTGTACCTTCACACACTACACACACCAAACACACACACACACACAAACACATCCACAGACATTAAGAGCTTCCAAGCAATTCGGTATAAACCGCTTAGAATTAATTTCACTGAGGGTCGTATAGCAGAGATGAGCTGGTTG